CACGTCAGATCTATTCGTTGGCCCCACTTAAGATTACAGGTCCAAATCAAGTGGGCCAGGAGGGAAACCCAAGAGGCCACGACTTTGTGGTTGAGCATTATTTTGGGCCGAAATTCTCAAAGCGGGTCACGGACTTCTCCCAGTTTTATCAAATCCAGTTAATTAAATTATACTCCCAATTTCAGCCTTCCCATCCCTTCGCAGCGGCAGAGAGTCAAATATTTTTCCTTTTCCAATCTTTCCCTCCTTTTACACTCACCCTCGCTCCTCTCGCTCCCGATCTCCAGACGACAGAACCGACGGAGTTCCGATACGGTCATGGACGGAGGTGCGGCTTACAACCCTCGTACCGTGGAGGAGGTCTTTAAGGATTTTAAGGGCCGTAGAGCTGGCCTGATTAAAGCCCTTACTATTGGTAATTCCTTCTTTCTTCTTCGTTTTGTATTCTAATTTTACGCTTTAGGTTTTCTTTTTTGGGTTTGCGTTCTTTCTCTCTCTCTGTTAACTGCTTGTTTGGAGTTCGTAATCTATTTTTGAGTGTTTTTGTGTTTTTTGGTTGGTGGTGGTTGCAGATGTTGAAGAGTTTTACCAGCAGTGCGATCCAGGTAATACCTTTTCTCCCTTTGGAAAATTGAATTCTTTGATTTCATACTTGTTTCTGTTTGGTTGCTGAGAAAAGGTGGCTATGTCTGCGACAAGGAGTTCGTAGTGAATTTTACTGCGAATTTTAAATTTTGTTGAAAAGAAAAATTGGGAAACTGAATATTTTGTTTTTCGCAGTGGAAGCAAGCAAAGCAAGGTATATATTTTGATAATATTTGATAGGGATATATTATTTGAATTAATATCTTGGAATTAATTTGCCTGTTCTTCTTGTCTGGTATTATGATTCTCGATTATTTGTGCATCCTTCGATTTTTGTATCCACATGGTCACTCTCTTGCGTGAAGCCTATATAGCTGGATTTTTTTTTCTCAAATAAAAATGTTAATATGTTAGAAAGTTAATTGAGTTGGAATGTTGACAATGACTCATAGTGATGCATCGGTGTCTGTCATTTGGATCAGTTTATAAACTTGTTTGTGTTGGGCGCTTTTGGATATTTAGGTGTGTGTGTGTGTGTGTGTGTTGTATTCATTTGGAAACGGGAACAAAAAATGAAGGAGTTTGCTAATATTTCCGAAAACTTCTTCAGAAGTTCCTAGTATTTGTGCAGTGTCAAAATCCTATTGTCAACATATTTGGAAAGAATCAAATAACACATATTGACTTTTACCATGTAAAAACGAAATTGAAGTAAAAGAAAATTTTGAAAACTAAATTTTTGCCAAATCCAACTTTCACCAATAGTCATCAGATTTATATTGCTATTGCAAAATTGATGGGCAAATGCCTTTTATTAATTTGACTAACTTTAATATAGTGGCAGGCTGATATTTATCGACAGGATGAAAACTGTCTTTTTAATGTAGATGTACCATGTGTCTCACAAGCATGAAAGGTGTATTTAATTTGGTTTGTACCATTGACAGACTTTTTTTCAGTCATTGTTGATTGTGATTGCTGACCTGCTGCGAGGCCATTGCCTGCTGATTTGACTGGTTATACATCTAGCAAATAATTCTCAGATAGGCACTTTCCCAACGGAGGAAGTTGTTTTCCAAAAAGAAAAGATTATCCTTTAATCTCTCTGGTATTTTGTTTCCCATGTATATGTTTATGGGTCACTGTAAGTTTTAGGAAATCATTTGCAACGAACCTAATGAAGCATTAGTTCCTTTCCTTCACAATCCTCTATAAATCTTGTTTCATTTTCATTTTCTTGTTACCAAAAAGGCCTTTTTATCCCATTAAAAGAAGCATTTTGATGTGCGATTTACTTTTAAATATCAAAATATTGCCTGGCCAGATTCTCTGCCCTTATTTACCATTCTGTCAATGACAGCTATTAAGTTTTCTATTATTTTCTGCATGCATGCATTTGAATGATTTTATTATAATATGCTGAACTTTTGACAACAGAAAAGGAAAATCTTTGCCTCTATGGGTTTCCCAGCGAGCAGTGGGAGGTGAATTTACCTGCTGAAGAGGTGCCTCCAGAGCTTCCAGAACCTGCATTGGGCATCAACTTTGCCAGAGATGGAATGCAAGAAAAGGATTGGTTGTCACTGGTTGCTGTGCACAGTGATGCATGGTTGCTGTCTGTGGCCTTCTATTTTGGTGCTAGATTTGGATTCGATAAAGCTGATAGGTATGGCTTCTTGTTTCCCATAGTCTATTCTCATGGTTTGGCTTTGTGCAGAACTTAGGAGTAGAGACAATAAGATGTTTTCTGCATCTCATCATGTCAATGTTGAATGGCTGAGGGATTTTTTGGTCATTTTTTAAGTTGAGTTCCAGAGTATGGTTGGTTTGATCCATAATGCATATGGACTTAGAAACATTGCTTAAATACGTAGCCAGTGAAGGGATTCTTGCATGCTGGATATGTAATTGATGTTGCCATATGTTCTTTAACAATGTCCTACTGCCTTGGTGCAGGAAACGTCTTTTCAATATGATAAATGATCTTCCAACAATATTTGAGGTAGTCACAGGGGCATCAAAGAAACAAACAAAGGAAAAATCATCAGTTTCAAATCATAGCAGTGGCAAATCAAAATCCAACTCAAAGGTACAAAAGGACTGCTGCTTGCTTAATTTTCCATCTGTGGTTTCTTTTTGACTGTTTGAATCTTCAATATGATTAGTGGCCAGCTTGGAAGTTTTATGATTTGATTTAATTTTTTATCTGATAATAATATAGTGAGGCTCTAAATTTTAGGGCAAATATTCAAAGGCAATGCAACCAAAGGAAGAGGACGATGATGGTCTGGAAGATGAAGATGAGGAGGAGCATGGGGAGACACTTTGTGGGGCTTGTGGAGACAACTATGCATCAGACGAATTCTGGATTTGCTGTGACATCTGTGAGAAATGGTTCCATGGGAAATGTGTTAAGATTACCCCAGCCAGAGCAGAGCATATTAAGCAGTACAAATGCCCATCCTGCAGCAACAAGAGAGCACGGCCTTAGGGATGGCAGGGCAGGTAGCTTCATGTTTATTCTGGCACCATAGAGTCCTAATTGTCAAGTAGGTCAGGCTGTTCTTAGTCACCCTTAGGTTTGTTCTTAGTCATCTTTCATTGTGTGTAGTTTAGGCTACCAACTTGCTGACTATTAATTAAAATAACATAAATTATTATATCATTCTCAGATGGAAAGTCATTTTCTTCCATAAAAAGGAGGGTAGACTGAGTTAATTAATGTCCAAACCTTGTTATTATATGCACATCTTGTTATTATATGCACATGTAGTTTCATTCCTTGCTATGGTATCTGTTTGAGGCGTTTTGGATTTTTACGGGGACGCATTATTCACACACTAAAGAGGACACGGGACATGCCTTGCCCTTGTCAGTTATTAAAGTATGTAACGCCAACTTCATAACACAATATCGGATTCAATCGCCGATTACATGGATGTAAAAGCGAAAAACTTTACTTTTTCTCTCTTTATTATTTATTTAAAATTATGAATTGTATAATAAAAAATAATTTATTTTTATTTTTTAATGTATTTTATTTGCATATCATGGAATTGGAACTTAAAATTTCTTGTTTTTAATAGAAAGAAATTGCTACTAGCCCAACTGAATTTAAGCAATTGGTGAAATCTTCTTCATGATGGGTGTGTGAAGAGTTGAGTTCTACGAAAAGTGGGACTACATAGTCAGATACATACTCTGCATTCGGCCTTAGACAATGATCCCCTTTGCGATAATAAAAAATTCATAACCGGAGAAGGTGAGCTATGGTGTTCTGTCAGGAAATTCAACTGGTAAATGGGTTTTGGTTATCGACCCCCGGTATTGTTCTTCCTTTGTCTGCCACTGCCAACCGTCAAAAATCGAGGCGGCTATTGATTTATTGGCTCTCTCTTCTTAATGGAAATTATGGAAGTAGAGATAGCTCGGTAATCACATTTCCTTACTAAAAAAAGAAAGCAAATCACTTCTTTGTTTGATTCTGAAGAAGAGAAAGAGGAATAACTTGGAGAGTGGAGTACATTAGATTCACCCAAAATTGGGTTAGAAAACTAGATGCTCTGCTACAGCATCTGCAAGAAATAATACATCGGGAATTCTTTGTTAATCTTTTTGTTCTTTCGTTCTTCCATTTTTTACTTTTTTTTTTTCTGAATTAGAGTAATGCTTTTTGGCAGAAAAGAAAAAAAAAAAAAAAAAAAAAAAAAAAAAAAAAAAAAAAAAAAAAAAAAGGGCAATGCCAGGGAGCTGCTGCTTATATTGTTTAATGAAAGAGGCCACTCCAAGGATTGCTTTTCAAGCAAAGAAAAAGCAATCACATGAAGAGACTTTTGTAGATAAGATAAAGCTAAATTTCCCCATGAACTTTCGAGTGTTTGAAGAATGGGGCTAATTTTGTCGTTTTCCTCAGTAGACTGATTATTTTTTATTTAGTTCATTATAGTTTAATAGTGCTAAGATGTTAATATTAACACAAAAAAATTAGGGCATAAAGAATCTTTGCTCAAGACACAGATGGAGATGGTTATTAATAAGTCATTCATCTGCCTGTTGATAACAAGACCAGTTGGGCAGCAAGGGATTCAAGCCACAAAATTTTGGTAGTTGGTTAAGCATGGATATTGCTTCAGTCTTCTCTTCATTGACTTCAATTGTGGCCACAATTGAGAGAAAGCAATGCTCATAAAATGGAGTGATCCAAGAAAAGATGAAGAGATTGAACCCTAATATTTGCAGAAATAACATAATCTTAGATATTCAGACGACTAGGAAAACAAAGAAAAGATGAAAAGATAAGCTGCTACTGCTAGTAATATACATGTTTACATTAATTTGTGGTAATTTCCATGATCTTAAGGGAGGAGGCAGAAAACTTTACATTAGTAAGCAGTCATCTTGCCAGGTTAACAAAAACTACAGGCATTTTGAAGGGGGAGAAAATTTTACATTAATAAGCAGTCTTCTTTGCTTGTTGCTCGAGTCATGATGCTGGGTTCTTTTGGCTCTTAGTTGATAGCCTTTTCAAGAACTCATAGGTTGTGATCATGGTTGTTGCAGACATAGACATGGATGCCCACCTAGGCCCCAATCCTCTATAACAAGCTGCCAATCCACCTTCTTTCACCAAATTCTTCATTGTCTGCAGAACTGTCGATGGCTTTGTCCTCCCATTCTCCTCTGCATCCAGAACCTGCAATCGGGTCTTGATGGTGTCAAGTGGCATGGTGATTAAAGCAGAAACGCCACTAGCCATGGCAGCACTGAGCCCCTGCACGGCAACGACAGCCTTTGAATCAGGCCTATACCCACTGATTGAATCAGATTCATCTTTTTTCCCCATGTAACAACCAAAGCCACCCCAAATGAGCCGGTTTGCCACAGAGTAAGATGCCCACCAAACAGCATTTGATGGTGCATATGTCAATATTGAGATCCCAAATCCCCTGTACAATCCCCTAAGACCATCTGCATAGAGAATCTTCCTAAACGCGTCTAGACCATTACTGTATCTACAAGAATTCACGTTTGGAACATTTCTGCTGCTGTTGCTAACGTTGTTGTTGCTGCTAGTTTGAACCATGAGTCTCTGGCTCACAACATCAATTGGGGTCCAAACAACCTGGGCAGCCATGGCTGAACTCATCCCAGCGACAGCATTTGCTATAGCAGTCGCTGCAGTATCTGAAAACCCTAAACTAACAGTGACAGTGCCCACACTACTCTTGGTGACCTCCAGTGCCCCCATATAAAGAGCTCGAGCAGGGATTGTACCCATCAAAGAAGTACCAAAACCCCTATAGAATCCCCTCAATCCTTCATTCCTCACGATAGCAAAAGACATGTTAAAGCAAGAAACTTGGGTAGAGGAAACTTGCTGCCTTGTCTTGAGGACCACTACAGGGTAAAGGGCAGTTGACACACCAGAAAACAAAGCCGCACCAAGGAGAAAGAACTTGGATTTATCAAGCATATGCCAATCCACATCTGCGGGCAAATGAATCTCCGATGCCGAATCATCCTCGGCCGCCCCCAAACTCATTTTCGCCACTTTCGAATCTGATTCGCACAACCCCACCCCACTAATCACAACCCAGCTCAAATCCTATCAAACCCTCTATACAAAAACCGACTCAGGTCATCACTATAAAATCCCAACTACTTCTGGTTTATACATAAAACCATATAAGGAGAGAAGTAGATGAAAGGGAAAGGAAATCAAAAGAACTGAAATGGGGATTTGGAGTTCGGTACAAGTGGGAGGAATTGTAAGTATAAAAGGAGATGAAAAACTACGAGTTGCAGACGTTAAGCAGAGAAAAGGGAACTAGGAGGCAAATTGAGAAATGGGTTTGGTCGGTTTTTTCCTTTTACGGAACCAGATTTGGGAACGGACGTGGATGAGCATAAATAGGTCGAACATTACTCAGCACAAAAACTCAACAGGGTGTGACCGAAGATGATTCTTACCGGAAAGTAAAGGAATTTCAGCATCTTGGGAGCTCCATAGCGAAGATGACAACTGGGTAGAGAGAGCACGGATCTCAAAGGTGGGGACTCAAAGGAAAAGGGAAAGAGAAAAGGGGTTTAGGGTTTCACAGAAAGCGAAATGGACTTGATCCATGTGGATGTTGGTGGGCAAGGTGGGTGTATTGAATGAGGAAAGTGGAGAGGGGGGAAGAAGGAAGGAGAAAGGAGGAAGCTTTAACGCACAGAGAAGACAAGATTATTGATTTTAGTGAGGCTTTTGCGGATCGAGGAAAGTGGACAGTGGACAGGTGTCTGTTACCACTTGGAAAAGTTTTCGAGATATTCAGCTGAGTGTCCCTTACCTTCCTGATTCCGTTGTTACTCTGGATGATGAATCAGTACCACAGTATTGGGCTTGTTTCTCTCTGGATCATTTCGGAGACCCGTTACCCATTGCCTCCTCCAGTCCTCCTCATGTTCTTCTTCTCATTATTATTATTTTTAGTGGTGGTCATACCGTCATAGTGTCTTTGCTTAATTTTAGTGCATGACAGGTAGTATCTGTAATTTTATTGAAGGCAGATTATTTATTCTTAGATGATTGGACTAGGGCATTCATGCCTTTCCATGGAGTTGAACATTCGAACCTTGATAATATCTTCTTCTTCCTCTCATCCTTTGATTTATTTTTTACTGTTTAAGAAAAGTTGAAAAAATTAAAAATTAAAACATTTATCATTCAAGATAGTAAAACGTTCAATTACCAACACGAGTAAGTATCAGTTGTATCTCATTTATCATAAGTTGTGAATGGATTTTTTTTTTTTTTAATATGAGAAATTTGGGAGAAGATGGTAAATTTGCAAGTAATTAATAAAGACAAAATGTTTAATCATTTGTATTCAATCTCTTAAATTTGATGATAAACTATTTGGTGCATTGTGCTAGTTTTTTTTTTTTTTTTTTTTTTTGGAACAAGTTGTTAAGGGATGAAGTCAAAGCTTGTTCATGAGGAAGGGAGAATGCACCTCAAGTTAGTAAGCTGTCAATTGATCCGAAAGGTTAGGTGCGGTGCATTGTGTTGGTTTATAAATTGTAACTAGATATATTATTATTTTCAATATTAAAACTTCTTATTTATCCCTTTTCCTCCACATATGTAGATAAATAATTGAATTAAAACATAAAAATTGAATAAATTGCTTTCTTTCCATCTCTTTTTTTTTTTCTTTCTATAATTAAATAAAAAAATATTTTCTCTTTTCCTTCCCTCCTCTCATCTAAATCCAAATACAATATAAAATATTAGTATTTATTTAAGTTAGGATAACAAATCACAATCAAAGAAAAAAGTGCCAACTTGAAAAACACATTTTATTAAAAAAAATTATATATCTCGCCTATGAGTCTTTTTTTCTTCTTTTCAATTATTGGCTCATTTACAGCTTTATTAAAAATAAATAAATAGAAGAAGAAGAAGATTAAATTCGCAGTAAATGCCACGACAGATTGGGGTCGTCCGTTCAGTGTTATCTATGTTGCCCTGAAAAGTTCCCTTGGTGCTTACAGCTAAAACTAACCAATGAGATAGAAGCTTCCACATGTAAGAAGTTTGTTTTGGTGACCCGAGAATCGCTGCGCCGATTGTCGGAGTGGTTCCGGGGCGGGCGTGGTTAGGCCAGGCCAGGCCAGGTTAGGCAGGCCATGATGTGGAGTTGCACTCCATCCATTCGATAAACCGCGAAAGTGAGTGTCTCTCTTATTCAATATGATCACAGCAGTTTATTACCCCACTAGAGGGACCACTTGAAGGGATCAGGCTCTTCCTTTCTAATCGAGAGATAACAAGCAGATACCCTTTTTAGGTGGCTTCTTCCTGGAGCTGCCCCAGGGCAGCACGACCCGCCGCTTAACCTTCTATTACTGAGTGGACACGAATGAATCCCTGTGGAAATCATTACATAGAGACATCATGATAAGGTTGACTGATGAAATTATTTATGGGATCAAAATGGCGGTATCTCATCTGTCCTTTTTATGTCCATTCCGAACTGGGTTTCTCCTGGTTCCAAAGTCATTTCCAGTGAAACTTCAGCAATTCCTGGAAGAAACCATAGTGTGATGCCCCGCACTAGTTCAACAGATGTCTAGTTTTGTTGCTTCCCTCGGGTTTTCTCTTTTGCTCCGGAGTTGATTGTCTCCATCAGTTAGAAGATATGGAAAATATGAGGAGACAAAGTTAACAAGAGCTCAAGATAGTGGGAAAGTGCAATTGCTGTACCAAGGTCACAATCTGTTCTGTTTGGATGTTGACAAAACAAAGAGGGACCCCAGAAGCAATGGCTGCAGAAAACCAGGCCATGGACCTAGTCATGGTTGCCTCAATGTAATGTTCACCTTGTAGGGGCATAAACAAAATGGAACTTATTACAGTAGTTCCACTATCCGGAAGGTATGTACCGACCTTCATTTTCCAATCATACCTCACGCCTTTTTTGTTGAATCCCCTGCAGTTCACATTCACTGCGGCCCTACTCATTTCTGTATAATCAATCAAAATTTTCAGACTAATCAATTACGAGTTTGAACATTTTCAGTGCTCTGATTGTTAGGTGAAGGGTGTTGAAACTAGGCTCAAGTCCCCTAGAACTGCAACATGTCTATCATCCTTAGCTGCTCTAATGGTTTATTTCTTTTTCAGCATCGAGGTTTTCTCCAAGACAAGACGTACACGAAGCTTATGCGTTGAATCACCCCTCCTGATCTTCACCCATATGGCCTCCACATCTTGGCCACTAATCTTTCCTACTACTGACCTGAATTCTGATATGGCCTTGACAGGCAGAAAGAATTCATCAGCATCATCTTTAGCGAAACCCTCAATGTTGTCTCCGGACAAAGGCATGGTCACTTCCCATTGTTCTGTTGCCTCTTGTTTCACTTCACGCAAATTACAGTCTGAACACTTCCCATATATTTCTTCTTGAAAATTCAAATTTGATTGTAATTTTCTTTGCAAACTGCTATATTTATCCAATTTATTATTCAAGTTGATCTCCAGAGTTTGGGGACGATCTCTTTGAGCACAATAAGGATGTCTAATTTTCGGTCTCCATGCCGCAATAACATTGAATGGTTTCTCCTTGACATTTACGGATAAAAATAAAAATACTCTCTGTGCTTAATGATAAAGCCAAGATAGCCATCTCAGCTAAGTGTTCTTGTAACTAAGCCTAAGTATTCCTTGGAATGTCTCAACGTTACATTTTTTTCATGCATCTACTACTAGCAATTGTCCTATTCCACACAAGAACAATCTTTCAATGAAGAAACTAGATTCCAAAATCAATACAGATTAACACAAGAAAAAAAAAATGAAATGAAAAGAGAAAGTTATACAAATGATCTTCTTTTGTCATGAAACACTTTGAAGGAAAAACACTTGGAAAAATCCATAATAATAATAATATAGTAAACTCATGATCTAGCTACTCCCTCCTTTACAAATTTTCTCGATTTCCTGTTGAAGCCTCTGGATCTCAGTTTGTGCTCGAACCCTTACTTGTGGATCGTTTGATCATAAAATTGAAGCCCAACTGCCCAATTCGACATTTGTCTGCCCATGCTCTTAATCTGTAGCTACCAAGAGTGAGACTTAATAAGAAGCAATACAACAGATTAAGAAGAAGTTTGATACAAAACACAGCAAGGGAGGGAGACAGACCTTTCTATGAGGCCATCTAGTCAGACCATCCCTGCGGCATATCTTCTTCACCACGGTAGGGCATAACCTCATCTTCTTCGCTGCCTCCTCAATGGGAAGATGAAAATAGTTTCCTACATCCTCCAGTTTCATTTTTCCAGCCCTTTTTCTCTATATTACACCCCAATATAATATTAGATACAAGAACCAATGATTATAGCAAATTCACAATGAAAAAAGGCTTTTGATTTCGTTAAAGCAAGTAGCAACATTCAACCTGACCTGCTCGGCCAAACTAGTCTCAGGGGCCCTTGTTTGCTCATTATCCTTTCTTGGTTGATCCCCTACAAAAGATATAATCATTCCCATGATATAAATGTAAATGGAAATACTGTTTTACAGTTTGCCTTGCACAAACTACACTTCAGTTTTCTGAATGTAAATCCTCATCATATATACTTAAACTATTTGAATACCTGAATTGGATGATGATGATGGAATGAACTCATCAGGATGCTGCAGATTTTCAGCCCAAACAAATCCAACACATAAGACTTCATAGAAGGTTGAAAGTGGATCACTTATTAGAAAGAATCCTGCTTGCATTCGGTCGAGACAGTATTGAACCAAAAATTGTTTCACTTCCTCCGTACTTTTCTTGCAAAAACTAAGAAAAGAGAAGAAAGAATATTCGAGGAATGCAATTTAGTTCATTAAACACATTAATTTAGCTACAAAAAGAAATTATATGAAGGATCAAACGTACTCGAACATTTGACAGTGATAGCTTGGAGACGGTGTATCCACATTTCCATGAACATCGAGAATGGCATGGAAGAACATACCAAGTCTTCCATGAATTTCAAGGGTTGTAATTTCAGTGCCTATAACAAATCAAATGAGGGGAAAAAAATTGTAAACAATCAAATCATTACACCAAAAAATAATACCAAACATACCATTACTATGAACTATTTCTCTAAGGACTTGGCAGAAAGAGCAACTGAAGGGGGACAGCACATTTCCAATTCCGTTATTGCTTGATTCTCCATGAAAATTTCCGGTATTTGGATCATTTTGGACAGTCCAAATGCCTCCATTCTCGAAAAGATCATCAGACCTTCCGATTTCAATACCCTGTTGAGGAATTGAAGGGGTTTTTGGAAATGGTTCCTGAATTGATAAATCTTCAGAGGTACGGTTATTGTCCTGGAAATTAAGAAGTTCTTCGAAATACTGGGCATTTGGATCCGCCGCCATGGATAAAAATTTGACACTGGAAGAAGTAGCAGTGTCAACTGGCAAATATGATGGGACTACGGTTTCTTTGGCCTCGGTGGTGGCGCGTGCAAAGGCGCCACCGGACAGACTGAAACGCTAGTTGTCTCAAGCACCCAAGAAGCACGCAGGTACTTGAGACAGTGGCTATTCTGCTTGGATGTTTGTCCGGAGAAGTTTTGACGATTTTATTTGCAGAAGATGAAACGCGCCGGAAGCAGTTAATGACCGTTGGAATTAAAAAAACGGTTGGGGTGGTTCCGAAAGGATGCATGGGAATCTCGATCTAGTGCAGTAAGTTCCATGATAAGAACAATGAACCATTCACCAAGTACTTGTTTATTCGAGGAGAAAGAATTCCATTACTAATTTTGAATTTAAGTTTTTGTAAATACAAAAGGGCCTAAAAAGTTTTTTTTTGGTGTCCAATGCAACTGACTCAATTGAAATTTAAGGTGTGTTCGATTTAGTTTATTGAAGTTTTTATCTTTTTAATATTATTTATAAGTAGTAAATTTAAATTTTTATTTAAAAAAGTTTTAAAGTTATTTTTAAAAATAAAAAAAATTATAAAATTTAAAAATTTAAAATTTTTAAGATTTTATTATTTAAAATATTTTTAAAATTAAAAAAACTTTAAAAATATAAATTTCTTTTAAAATACTTTAAACATGTAAAATATAAATAGCATGAAAAAACTAAAACTTCAATAAACTAACCCAATGATTTTCAGTATCCAGGGCAGTAAAGAAGAAAGAAAAGAACGATAAACTATTGAACGGCGTCATTTGATTAAAAACGTCGTCGTTTTAGTTGTCACAAAACTCCATTGGACAAGCGTGCCGGTAAATCTCTTACCAATTTAGCGGAGAAAGTAAAATGAAGTCAGCATTGTCGCTAGCGAGCCCAAAGAATCTCAATCGCATTCTGCGTCCTACATTCATCTCTCACAGAACCCATTTCGTTCTCGCGATCCGGGGAATCTATCCCACTTCCTTGGTTTTCGGGAGCAATATTGCTGGCCATCGTTACGTGAGGCTCAGAGTGATGGCGTCGTCTTTCAAGCCGGAGGAAGCCAGGGTACCGCCTGCTGTTCCCTTGCCCACCCCGCCTGTCACCAAGGCAATTGCTTTGCACTTCGTTTTTTCTCTTTAGATTTTATAATTTTGGTTAAAAGTTGAGATTTTGAATTTTGGGGTTTTTCTTGTTTTTGTTTTGCTGCAGTTCAAGATTGCGCTTTGCCAGTTATCGGTGACGCCGGATAAAGAGAGGAACATTGCGCATGCTCGGAAGGCCATCGAGGAAGCTGTGGAAAAGGGTGCCCAACTTGTTCTGTTGCCTGTGAGTTTTTGTAGTTTTTGCTCTCTGCTATTTCACTTTCCTAGTTTTTAGTACACTGTTAAATTAATTTAAGCCTATATATTGGAAACGCGCTGTAAAAAGCACTATATCAAATTTATCTGGAATGAACTCTATATCGAAGGTGCTTCACATTAGTCATTTGACTCATTTTCCTTTTCTTCATTCCTCTGGAAATAAAATGTTTACTATGTCCAAATGACTAATGATAATTTCACATATCAGGGCATTCTTTTGTGATAAGGTGAAAATTTTAAATCATGAATGATAATTTCATGGTATCAAATTAAGACCCTCTCTTTTTGTAATTGTATCAGGAAATATGGAACAGTCCCTATTCAAATGACAGCTTCCCAGTTTATGCTGAAGAAATTGATGCTGGTGGTGATGCATCTCCATCAACAGCAATGCTGTCTGAAATTTCTGGCCGTTTGAAGATCACTATAGTTGGTGGCTCTATACCTGAACGTTCTGGGGATAAGTTGTATAATACTTGTTGTGTCTTTGGTTCTGATGGAAAGCTGAAAGCGAAGCACCGGAAGGTAGGCGCACTATCTACACCATATGGCATATATTATTATGCAGAAAATGGAAATCTTGCTTGAAAAAGAATTAGAGAAATGCTTGTCTTGTTATGAGAACACAATCTTTGGTTGCTATGTAATTCTAGGCCTGAAATGGCAATGAATAAAAAAGATGGACTTGCTGAGTAATGTATTCTGGAGACTTCCTTTAGAGGAACCAACTACTCATCAGTTAGAATAATTTTTTTGGCCGGACATTGGTTAGAATGATTAGATTATCATATGATATGACATTTATATTAACTGTATACATCTTGACATCCACATATTAGTGTATGATATCACCAATCTTATATATCTTCTGTGTATTCTTGTTTGTTTATATGATCACACAGTAGTGCTAGACTAGGGTGTTAAATATAGATGCTTGGTGTCTGAAAATATATATATATATATTCATTACCTTTTTATCTTTTGTCACAAGCCTGTTAATCTATAAACTCCAAAAATCCTAGTTTCAGAAACATAGTTCCTGTTCTTGGATGTCACATCAAGAAGTTCCTCTAAAAGATTTGTGTTCTGCATAATATGTTTTGAGTGCATCTCTTTGCAGCCTCTTTGCGTGATATTTCTGACTGAACAATTCATGTGGAACTACAGATACACCTTTTTGATATTGATATTCCTGGGAAGATTACCTTTATGGAATCAAAGACTCTTACCGCAGGGGAGTCTCCAACTGTTGTGGACACAGGTTGGAATGTTTTCATTGGCGATGTAGATGTTCCCTTTCATACATTCTAAAAATGTTATACTCTACTGTCCATAATTAGAAGAATAATGTTTTCTTAGCTGTAAATGGTTGACTATTTCAACAAAACTGATCTGCAATTCATCCTAGTGTCCATACTTCTTTGCTTCTTAAAGTTGTGTTTATCCCTCCTTTTATAATGGTTCTTGCAGATGTTGGGCGTATTGGTATAGGTATCTGTTATGACATTCGATTTCAGGAACTGGCAATGATATATGCAGCAAGAGGTTTATTCATTTATCCCTTGAATCATTAAATGGTTAATATAATATTATTTTAATGTCTAGGGTATCATTTAAGTCACCTGCTGATGTTGATAGAATACTACTTGTTGTTTCTCTTGTTCTTGAATCTACTGAACTCTATGAGACTCATATTTTTGCATTTAGGTGCTCATTTGCTATGTTATCCTGGAGCATTCAACATGACAACTGGACCATTGCATTGGGAACTATTGCAGAGGGCAAGGTACTAACATGCTTCAGTTCCTGAACAGGTGTTTAAATTTTTATCCAAGTTTCCCAAAACTAGTAATACTTTTTTGACATTATCTTCGTATCTTGTCTTAAGTTTTTCTTTTGTGTACTCTGGATGTGTCCCATTTTGGGATGATTTAGTGCGCTCTTTAGTCTAGTCGTGTCTCAAGAATAGTCTAGTCTGTAAAATGATGGCTGCTCACCTTACTAATGTGTTCTTATTGTACCATGTGTCCAGGGCCACAGATAATCAGGTATGACATTAATTTTTATCGTTTCTTTTCCTTATCATCAGTATTAACAATCCTCTTTTCCTCATAAAAGCTTTCATATAACCACATACTACACACTCCATAAATAATCAGCAATCCACTGATCTTTAGGGAGACACATAACTCATCTATGAATCATTATATTTCACAAGTTCTGTTTATCTTTATTATGGTACCTAATAATGGTTCTTCCTTCGTGCATCATTGCTGACAACTTTATGCTGTATAGTTATATGTGGCTACTTGTTCACCTGCTAGAGCTGCCGGAGCCAGTTATGTGGCCTGGGGCCACTCTACTCTCGTAGGACCTGTAAGTGGATCCCTTTTTACAAGAAAATGTTTGACTAGGCATTTATATAGGAAAATATGCAGCCTTATTTTCTTATCTTACTAAATAGCAAAAGTAAGAATTAGCAATATAGATTCGAGTTTGTTAACAACTCAGAGTCTTAAGTAGTTTTAAGTTTTTTGTATGGAAGCAAAATGCTGATATGGTCACAAATGTGACAGTTTGGAGAAGTCCTGGCTACCACCGAACATAATGAGGACATAATTATAGCAGAGGTTGATTATTCTGTGCTTGAGCAAAGAAGGTAATGCGGGTTCCACCATGTTTTATTTCAAGCATGTTCATAATCATACATGTCACTGTTTTCTAATTCTGTACTTGTGAAATTTAGGGCGAGTCTTCCCTTAACAAAGCAACGGCGTGGTGATCTTTACCAGCTGGTAGACATCCAGAGATTCAACTCTCAGTGACTACAGCAACATATGTTGTAAGACTTGTTTGACTGATGCAAGAATTTCATTCAAAATGTGGGTGCAGATATTGAAAATTATGTAACTGTCATGGCTCTTGACTCTTGGAAAATTGTATCACCATATTTACTGCAAAATGAAAGGGTTGTTGAAGACTATATAAATCATTCCCTCCCAGCCACAACCATTACAGGCCTTGGTTCTTGCCCTAGACAACGTGTTTTGCTGGGAAAAGAGAAGTGTTCCTTTTTTTCATCAAGGACGCCACTCTGGTGGCCAAAAAATAAAAGACCACCATCTTCCTTAGGATCCCAAATCAGGGAGGTGGCATGAGAGATTTAGAGAGAATATTAACAACAAATTAAAATGAATTGCAGAAAATTAGAAACGTCAAGATAAAAAAGACTTGAATCCCCTCTTAATGAATTAATCCAGAGGATTTATTTAGAATATTTGTACAATTTTATATTAAAATCCCATTTTTCATTTTTTTCAAAAAAAGAAAAGAGAAAATTAATACACATGGTTTATTCTGCTGCAAGTGGCAGAGGAAGGCAGAGAGAGGAGGAGCAAATTGCACATTCTTGCAAAAGAATAATGCTGGCCGTTTAGGTGTTATCTAACCACATCGGACAAACGTGCCAGGAATCTCTCACCAAAGCAGTGACGGTGTTGGAGATGGTAAAATGAAGTTAGCACTGTTGTCGTCACTAGTGAGTGGCTAGCTTAAAGAATCTCAATTGCATTTTGCGTTCCCAAGACTCGGCTCCACTTCGGGCGACTCCGGAACCAATACTGCTGATTATCGTAACCGGAGGCTACATGGCGTCGTCTTTCAAGCCGGAGCAAGCCAGGGCCCCGCCTGCCGTTCCCTTGCCTATTCCGCCTCTTACCAAGGTTATTTTTTTCACTTTTTTTTTTTCTTATTCTATTGTATAATTTCGTTACAAGTTCAGATTTTAAGTTTTGGGTTTTTCTTGTTTTTGTTTTTGTTGCAGTTCAAGATTGGGATTTGCCAGTTACTTGTAACGCCAGATAAAGAGAGGAACATTGCGCATGCTCTAAAGGCCATCGAGGAGGCTGCAAAAAAGGGTGCCCAGCTTGTTCTGTTGCCTGTGAGTTTTCCTAGTATTTACTATATTTGATTTCTGCTGTTTTACTTTCCTAGAAGCCTACATCAGCCATGGTTTTTGGTAAAAGCAGAGGTGGACCCATTTTTAAGTTTTCCCAACGAAATCTGTGAAGAACACTGGATACCTTATCACTGTTCCATAAGAAAATAGTACAAACACTTGGGGGCCTATTGTTCTTGATGTTGGTGCTCTCTTTTGGCTGCTGTTGATCGGAGAGAAGTGGAAAGACAGACAGAAAGAGGTGGCGGTAGAAAAGGGGGAAATAAAGTGAATGTTCTCATGCTATAGTTACTTATCTTAAGCAAGCCATTTAAGCTGTAAAGTTCAACTCAGTAAACATTAATCATTTTCCTTTTTCTTCATTATTCTGGCAATAAAATGTTTAATTTGTCTAAATGGGATTAAATCAGAACAATCTTATGTGTTAAGCTGAAAATTTTAAATTGTGGATGATAATTACATAGTATCAAACTAAGGCCTTTCCTTTTTGTAATTGTATCAGGAAATATGGAACAGTTCCTATTCAAATGACAGCTTGCCAGTTTATGCTGAAGACATTGATGCTGGTGGTGATGCATCTCCATCAACAGTTATGCTCTCAGAAGTTTCTTGGCGTTTGAAGATCACAATAGTTGGTGGCTCTATGCCTGAACGTTATGGGGACAAGTTGTATAACACTTGCTGCGTCTTCGGTAGTAATGGAAAGTTGAAAGCGAAGCACTGGAAGGTAAGTTCATTATCTACATGTATTATTATGCTTGAAAAATAATTAAAGAAATGCTTGTCTTGTTATGAAAACATAATTTTTGGTTGGTATATAATTCTGTCTTATATCACAATGAACAAAAGGGTCGGAATTGCTGGGCAATGTATTCCGGCAGCTCCCTCTGAATGAACCTACTATTCATTAGTTAAGAATGATTAGACTATCATATGATATGACATCTATGAAGTATGATCAACTATATGCATCCTTGCATTCATGTATTAGTGGATGTTATCACTGATCTGGTATATCTTCTGTCATTAATTGTTTGTGTGATCATATACTAATGGTAGGGTGTTAAAATGTAGGTTCCTGGTACCTGTAAAAAGTTATCAATATACATCATCTTTTATCTTTTGTCACAACTCACAGGCCTGTTAATCTATAAACTCCAAAAACCCTGGTTTGGGGAACATAGTTCTTGTTCAGATGTAACATTAGTGGGTTCCTCTAGAAAATTTGTGTTCTATGTAATATCTTTTCAGTGCATCTCTTTGCAGCTTGTTTGTGTGATATTGTTGACAGAACAATTCATGTGGAACTACAGATTCACCTTTTTGATATTGATATTCCTGGGGAGATTACCTTTACGGAATCAAAAACTCTTACTGCAGGGGAATCTCTAACTATAGTGGACACAGGTTTGATTCCTTAAAACATTTTTCATGGCAATGTTCCATGGGGTACACTTTAAAAAATGTTATACCGTGCTGTCCTTAATTAGAAGAACAATGTTTTCTTAGTAGTATATGGTTGATTGTTTAACAAAAATGATCTCAGTGTCCATACCCCATTGCTTCTTAAATTTGTCCTTTATCCCTCCACTTAATTCTGATCAAGTAATTTTCAATTGTTGTAGAAACTTATGCACCAATAATTCATTTTATTCTTTAACTTCCTTCAGAAACTAACCATTAATGGTTCTTGGTTCTTGTAGATGTTGGGCGTATTGGTATAGGTATCTGTTATGACATTCAATTTCAGGAACTGGCAATGATATATGCAGCTAGAGGTTTGTTTATTTATCCCTTGAACCATGAAATGATTATGATATCAACAACCTTTGATATTTTGATAGGATACCGCTTGTTGCTCCACCTGTTCATGAATCCGCTGCACTATACAAGACTCATGTTTTTGCATTTAGGTGCTCATTTGCTATGTTTTCCTGGAGCATTCAACTTGACAACTGGACCGTTGCATTGGGAATTAATGCAGAGGGCAAGGTATTAATATGTTTCAGTTCAGTAACAAGTGTTTAAGTCTTGAAATTATCTTTGTATCTTGTCAAAGTTTTTCTTTTATGTACTCTAGACATGTCCCATCGTGAGATGAATTAGTCGTGTCTCAACAAGAGTCTAGTGTGTGGATGATGGCTGCTCTTCTTATAATTTTTCATACTGTTCCATGTATGCAGGGCTACAGATAATCAGGTAAGATATTAATTTTTTCAATATGATCTCTCACCACAATACCATAAATATTCAGGAATCCTCTGATCTGATCTTCAGGGAGACATATAACTGATCTCTAATGAGTCATGAGATTTCACAAGGTCGTGTCTCCAAGGACCTTTCTTTTACAATGAGATTAGGATTACTTATAATAAAATAATTGTTGATTATACATAATTTTTTTTTTTTTTAAAAAAATTAATTTATATTTTAAATTATATTAAATCATTAATTATGAATTTTTAAATAAAAAATAATCTCTTAACATTAAGTTTTTTTATTTTATAATTTAATATTATTTAAATTATAAAATAATATAAAAATTTGATTTCATGCCTCGCAGTTTCAGCTCCTACAACTGTTGCAGGTCTTGGTTCCGTTCCGTGACATGCTTTGTTGGGAAAAGAGAACTGTTCCTTTCTTGGTCAGGAAACCCCACCATCCTTGGGATCCGCATCTCCCATCCCCGTCGCCATCTCCATCTCTTTTCCTTTTTCACGCTGTGCCAGGCCAGGGCTCTTAAAATCTCCACCCTCCGCCGGTGAATCACGCGGCTGATCCCTCATGGACCACATCCCATCCATCATGTTCCCTTTCCCACGTGAAAAATTCTCTCAAACCCACTGTTTGCTACCCCTCTGATAGCTAATACTATAATTTTAAGTGCGTGCATGTCCATGTCACGTTGTACAGTGCTGAGGGGGCAACACGTAGGCCCTCTTCTCGATACGATGTCCCTTGCTGATTAGACCCTGCCAGGGCTGCTGCCTGCCGCCTGCTCCAGACTATGATTTTCGACTCATCATGCCACGTCACATTAAAATAATTAAATGGTATTATAAAGATAATTTTTTTATATTATTTTTAATATAATTTTTATATATTATTAAATAAATATATATATTTAATATCATAAATTTAATCAATTATTTAAATAATACAATTAAAAAAATTATTTCAAAATTATTTCTCAAAGTAATTAATTAAACTCAAAATTTTTATCCAATCAGGATTTCAGCTCGCCAGCTCGCCGACATTGATTTTGATCCGTGATGCGTGGCAACAAACAACACGGTGGCATACAGAAACTTTACATTAAATGCGAGAGAGAGTACCCCTTAACCGCTCGTGTCAGAGTCATATGTATCCGACGACAGGTCACAGGAGTCCCCAGGAACCCCGTAGCCGTAAACAGTGCTCTGTTCACGTGCCACACTGACGTGCCACACTGTGGTCCCCCCCCCCCCCCCCCCCCCCGGGCCCGGGGAAACCCACTCGCGACGCCAGATCACGCCTGTTTCTATAGTATACCCCACTCAAGTATTACCCAAATTTGACCGTACCTTGTACACTTGTACAAGTACCTATCTTTTTCTTTCTTTTTTTTTTTTTTGAAAATAGGTAATGATATCTTTTTCTTTCTTAGTTATATAATTAAAAGCGAAAACGTCCTTGGGGCCTTAATGCCTATTTCATTTTTATAAAAAAAATTTTATGTCAAATTTGAAAATGTAAGATTTGAGTTTTATTTTTAATATTAAATTTTTTTTATTTTTAATAAAAAATTAATATTAAATTATTTAAATCGTTGTATCTACATTTATACTAAAGTATAAAACTTTTTAATATTGTAAGTTATTTTCTCGTTTATAAATTTTTCTTTTGCGTGTTCAAATTATAAAATAGTAAATTTATAATCATAAACTCAAAAAATTTTCAAAATAAATTGAGCTACATGAGATCAAACAAGTAATTGCATTTTAATTCATCAAAGTTGTTTATAAGACTCAATTAGAAGATAACATTATTCATGTATTATTTTTCGTATACCTAGCTACGTACCGTCATATCCCGTGTAATTAAGCCTTGGTTCAATTTCGTCCTACAGGTACTGAATATTTTATTTTTTGGACAGATCTATTAGCATCAGATGTTGAAAGAGCACAAGATAATTGTCGAATTGTTGGTGGAATCCACCTTTGCATTCTGCATTTGGACTTTTTTTAACAATAAATGGAGATTTATCAAGAGACCAGATCACTAAGCTTTCTGCGTCAAGTCTTATTTTGTGTTTGCATAAAGGGCTGTGGATGTTCCCGCTATGATAGCCGCTGTCTGGAGACCGATATACAGGGGTAGACATCATGTGGTGTTGATTAGTTAGGATTATGGAGGCAAATCTAGCTATAAATGGCAGTTATTGTTAAAGAGTAGTTTGTTTATGTGGGGTTTGGTGTGGATATATATGGTAGTAGTATTGAAACATCCTTTTCGGGTACTTAATTATAATGATGTTGTGTTACTTAATTTGTTTCCAAAGTTGTAAAAGAGTATGGTTATGAGAAACAAACTCACTTAATCTGTATCAGGAAGCGTTTGCATGCAAGGCCTTGCTGCCTTGCATGTGATCATGATGACTAATTAACTTACATAACCACAATTTGTAAAATGTATGTAATCTCTAGGTATTCTTGTGCGGAGAGTTTGAATCCAAACTCTCCTAATATCAAGTTCAAATCTTGAGATTTTATGTGATCATCATGATGGTCAAAAAAAGAAAAAAAGTGATCATCATGAAGGTATAGATTAGAGAAATTTATGAATATGAAATTATATATGTCTTTCATTATAAATAGTTCGTGCAATATCTACCTAAAAAAATATTGTTTTACTCTCATCATATATATTGAAAAAGACCACTCAATTTAAAGAGACGTAACTTAGTCAGTAAAAGTAGTTATTTTTTATTTTATCAATCAAAATTTAATTATGTAAGTTAATATAGAGATAATTTTTTAGTCCCTAACATAAATATCTTATTTTCAATTATATCAAAAGAAGGTTGATATCAAAGTACATACAAATTAACCTAAAACACCTAACCTTAAAAAAAAAAAAAAATCAATCGTCATGCGAGGATTAGTAAATTACTCAAATCATCAAATAATTATATTTATGAATTTATTTTCATTATTAAATGGGAAAAAAGAACATAATCCTCCCAAGTCCCAAGTCCCAAGTCCCAAGTGTAATTTTTTGGAAAATTGTGTCATGCCATAACAAGCTGGAGCCTCTGCATGTTCCATTTCAAAATAAGTTAATTAATACGGTCTTGGGGAAAATTAAAATTCAACGGGGGAGCCGGAACGATATGGCGCTCCTCTGTGAATTTTCATGATTAAAAGGCCAAATTACAGGCTCCCGGCTCCCTCCCATTAATTACCTATGGTCAAAATTAACTAATTTGAAAGCTTGTTATAATTAATCTCCTTAAGAATGGAGAACATGTTGCACACACATGATTTTTGGTAATGAAGCCTTCATCAACTTCTTACTGTGCACTTTCAGAATTCAAGAAACCAACACCCACGCAAAATGGGGTCCATTTATTAACCCCATTTACCAACTCGAAAATTCTACTTAAAATATAATAATAACTCCCCTCACTCTGTTTACATATCTACAACTTATTTAGAATTTTTTATTTACCATTAATTTTTATGTACTTTGAAATTAAATCTTTCTTAAACAATAAGGACAAACCTCTAGTATTTAAAAAAAAATTAATTTCCTTTTATGTTAGTTTCAAGATTTTTTTTAATTTAATTTATAAAACGATATTTATTTACAAATCGTGAAACCTTTACATGTATATATTTAAAGACAAGGAATATCAAGTCAGAGTGTTGAAAACACTGGTAGGTTAGATTCTCTATCACCTTAAATAATTGACATTTTTGAATGACAACTTGTCAAATAATTCACAAGATTAATTTGTTTGCAAAATTAGACGTGTGATTAATGCTTAGTGCCGGCAATTAATCCATGATTTAGATGCATATATCTATCTTTAAAAGAAACCTTTTTACATACAATAATTGTCAAAATTATCAATAAAAAACAAAATTGACTGAGATTTTGTCAGCACCTAAAATCTAAATGGGCTCGACATTGATAATTAAGCAATTATTTATACAAATCCACGTGCTTTGTTTCCTAAATCCGACTCCTACGATACAAATTTGGTATTTATATATATAATTTTCTTGTTAATTAAATATTATACATACTCGTTTAGTGCTAAGTCAACTATATATCAAAATCAACACTTTGTTATAATATATGATTATGCGTCCGTTATATAACTTCCTTTACCAGTAGTCCATACGTTATAATAATAAACAAAATTAAATGACACAACAAACTCCATAAGGAAATTTATTAAATTAAATTCCCAAATCAAATTTAAAGAAAAAAAATCCCATCATATTTCTTGTCTTATATGCTCTTTTATATATTCTTCCTACCAATATACGTAATAATTAATTAATCACCATCATACCCATATTCTAATTGATCAGTACGATTTTAAAACCTCAGAAATTAACATTGACAATTCCTCCTGCCCTTTCATTGTTGCTTAAATACTTCAGTGGTGAGAGATTAATTACTTTTTAAGATTGAAAAAGACCCTTTATCATTTCAAGTTCAATCCTAAAATTTATTTTTTATATTTTATTCCACCGTTACAGCCCTCAATTTGTTCATTTTTTTTGTATCAGAAAGCAGATGTTGATGAGAATTGATTGCAACCAAACCTTTACAGAGTAGGTTTTTAGAAGTAAAACGGATGAGTCCTAGTTTAATTGATAAGGGGGTTTTTACTTTTAAGTTTATTTATTAATATTTAATTTTTTAGAGGGATCAACAAGAAGATAATGTTTCAATTCTTAAAAATTCATTAGTCCTAAACAGATAATCTACTTTAGACCAAACTCAAACTAGTCTACAGATATCCTTACCATTCAACCAAAAAAAATAAATAAATAAAGAGAGTAAAATAGTGCTCCGAAAATAACCCGTCCTTAGTAATATGGTGTATGAAGTTAGAATATAAATTGAAAATTAACACAGTTATAATATAATATGGCATTGTAAATTTATAATTTTAATATTTTATTATATACTTATTTTTATTTAAAATTTCATACGTGATATTATATTATTATTATAAATTTACAATACAGTATAACTATATCATTCTCATTAAATTAAATTTTGAGAAAACGAACATAATTTTGCAACAGCAAATGCTGTGTCCTACCGCATTGAATGATACTAATTGAGCCAAATTATTTTATTACATGCGTTTCACAACCAAATTTCCTCCGCCTTCAAAGCCTCCGGCTTTTCTTTCCAAAAGATTACGCATTGCGCAATGCAACATCTTTGAGCAACAATCAAGTGTGTGATGCCTCATAAATACTCGCCCCCCTCTATACACACGCGAAATTTTCCAATTCTACACCAACATCTGTCCCCACAACACACTTCTACGCGATCAACGGCTCTAAATTTGATTTTGAAACAAAGGATAAATTTGGGGAAGACATATTATTTCTTATATATTTCACCTTTTTTTTTCAATTGATTAATTTTTTTTATTATTTTAATTTTTTTCATTATTTTAATTATTTTATTGTTATCTTTTCTAACTGAAAGTAAGAGATTTTGAATTCGAGTCACATGTATGCGAGTGGAGTAAAATAAAAAATGAGAGATGATTGTTTTTTATTGTACAATCAAAATAAAAAAAATTATGAATCTCAAATGAATAAATAAATAAATTATTTAAATGATACGTAAGATTGTATAAAAAATAATATAATATGAATTTTTCTAAA